TTTTTTTTTTTTTTTCTTAAAACCGTAAGAATTATGGATTTTCGTGAGAATATGAGTAATGAAAGAAGATTTTTCGAATAATAAGGTAATCTTCACTCTTTTCGTTTCTATCTTTTTTAGTGCAATTAGCGACTATAGTATATATATATATATTTTTCTTGGTACAAAGAATTATGAATTTTCGCGAAAATATGTAATAAGAAAAATTTTTTTTTTTTTTCTAAATTTAAGATAGAAGGAAATAAGTTTTCATTCGTATTATGGAAGACTTTACGCGACATTATTTTGTATCGAATTGAAATAGCGAATAGAATTTGATATTGTAATAAGTGGTTTTTTAAAAGCGATAAAAATAATGAATTTTTATGAGAATACGTAAGAAAGAAAATAGGATTTCATTTATATTTGTTATGAAAATTATAAAAGATTTTATGAAATATTATGTGAATTGTAATATAATTTGATTTGACAGTTTGATATTAAAGTTTCGTTATTTTTAAAAATTTCTCAAGTTTAAATAATACGAAATTATATCGTTTTCGCGCGAAATAAGTATAGAATAATCTAATTAAATTTATCGTGAAAAATAATTTTATTTAAAAACAACAACTTTTTCCTATTTATATATTCCTATCCTTATCTAAGAAAAAAATTAAATTGTTGAAATAAGACAGTATCTAAGTTTGACGAAAAATAATAATTATAAATTCTATGAATGAAACGAAATATTCCGTATTTAGAAGAAATATCTTCGTTTTTCCAAATTACAATATTAAAGAAAATCAATATTACGAATGGATAAACCACTAACGAAAGAGGAGGAAATCATTCAAAATTCATTAACAAGACCATATACTTTTTAAATTCATTTTATCTTCGTCGAACGATTTCCTTCCAAATCCAAACATTAATTAGAGATCCGTTCAAATTTCGCACACAACTGATATCGATATATCGATACATCACGCAGCAAGACATCAATTTTCCCCCTTACGTTACATTCCCTTCTACTTTTTTCTTTTTTAATTACTCTCCTTTCTTCCTATTTTTTTTTTTTTTCACTCGTTTGTTCGACGACGACTTCTATCGGATTTCGCCCTTTGAGCTTAACCAATCGCACGTATTCGTACCGAAAGCGGCCGAGCACACGCAAGATGAGGCCACGCATCGATGCTTCGCCCACTGATCAAAAGGGATACGAATGCTAAAAATCAATTTTTCAATAATTTTCTTTCCCTTCCCTATAAGCCGTCCAATCATCCGTGCGTTTTCATCCGCGTATGTCAAAACTGTTATTAACGAGCGAAGACAAAAGTCTTCCGTTTCTCGGCCCGCCTCGACAAGAGCACGCTTTTGCCCCGTCTCTATACACCCATGGGCCTTTGTATTCATTGTCTGCCCGATTCCCCTTTCACACCAGCGAAATCAATGAAGGAGCACGCGTGAGCGGGATCGTGTATATAAGTAAGCGTGTATGTATCCGTGTTACGTGGGTTTGGTATATGTATTGTTATATACTCGTACGTGTGTGTGTGTGTGTGTTGTACGAGGAGGATCGTATCGAAAAACCGGCTGGTTCACTTTGTTGCCAAGAGATAATGGCCATGCGAATCGTAAATAAGGTAATAGGTCTTCGCAGGGCCGAGGATAGACTAAAGATCGGAATGACGTAAGCGAGAAGCCCCTTAAGGGCGCGTCCACAACTTTCAAAACTGGGTTTGGGGCTTTTGGTTGATTTTCGGATTGGTTTAATTAGAGATTAAGCGTAAACTTTTTATTTTTGGTACGGTGTTCGAAGAATGTAACAGTTGCAAAATTGGTAAAAGAGAAGTGCGTAATATGAGTTGCAAAGTTTATTGTGCAAGAGATTATTTTTAAGCGCTATATCGAAATAATGAAGAAATATTCGTGTCAATCGGTTTGTACGATTTTTTCTACCATCTTGATCATTCGAGCAATTTTTTTTTCAATTCGATCAAATACATTTTCAATATTCATTTCTATCATTAAATATTATCTATCAAGTTCTAGAGAAAATATGAGAAAGAGAATCCGAGCTATGGATTTATACGTGGTGTATGTAAATGGAATGGTATATCTTTGCAACGATACTGAAAATTTGTTTTTTTCCATTATTTCATCTTATTCGCGCGAATTTGCTTCTCGCTTCCTTTATTTTATATCGCGGAAAGAAGTCTAATTGGATGAGGCAACGCTATTGGGAATTATTCAAATCGTGTTTCGAGGCTGTTGAAAGTCAGACGTACGAAGCCGATGCAGCTGCACTTGAATAAACATCGATGCATCGATATGCAGTGAACACTGACGAATAAGCGCAACTTTTTTATACGTACACGGCCACACGGTTTCGATGTATTCCGCGCCAATAACAGGCCAGGCCATTCGAAG